ACTACCACTACTGATACTACTATAGCGTTTGCTACAACTAATACAACAACTTCTACTGCTTCTACTTCTACTACTAAAATAAAATAAAAACTGAAATAAAAAAATTAAAGTAGATGTAATATGGCATAATAATATTGTCCAGTAGGGGGCGATGTGTCACTTGATGGTGTGTGCAGTATATAAAGGGGCTGAGAAGAAGACCAGCAGGTGTGTTACCAGTTTGCTGTGTACAGAGTGGAGGAACTATAGCTGCGTCCCAAATCGCATACTTATGCACTATTCTACGCCATTTTCAAGTACACATACACATTCAAGTAGTGTGTTCACACTGAAAACTCTAAAAATAATAAGGGCACTTTAATTACCCGGATGATGCACTCATTCAGCAGCTAAAATGAAGTGTGTAATGATGGACACTTCACGCACTCAACGACCACAGGTTTGCTTACGTAGCGGAAGGGGCGGAGCTATCGGACGCACATGTTGGATAACTTTATTTATTTTGGATGGTGAAAGCAAAATTCTCCTACGAGAGTGATTATTGCGCCTCCCGATGGTGAATGCGGCAATACTCACGGCAGGTATTATTTGATAATTGGGTTGTTTATTTCACTGATTTGGCGACCGTCTAACGTCATCAGGGAAACGGTTTGAATTTACGTTTAGTAAAAAAACGTTAGTGTGCCATTTGGGACAACACTACATACATGTACTATCCTGTTGAGTGTGTAAGTGCATAAGTACATAGTGCATGAGTGCATAGTGTATAGTGTGCCATTTGGGATGCAGCTTATGACGTCACTTTGTAGGCTAATCGGCTGCTAGCATAAAACTGGTTCCCTCGTGAAAATCCCTATAGGATTTTCCCATAGGGTTTTCGAAGATTGTGAATAATAAGCTCTGTGTTCAAACACGGTTCATTACACTTACACGTTTTGTTCAGCCGGATAATCCTCACACGAAAATACAACTTTGAGCACTTTTGGATCTTAAATGCAAACGCAAGATTTGAAAAGCTAACATTAGGCTATAAACGGACTACAGCGCCCTCAGGGTGCTCGTCAGTGACGTCAGCCCCACCCTGCTACAGACGACTTATCAAGCTTATTTTTTAGAAATAATGTCCATGACAAAGAGTTAATCTCTCTGTATATTATATTATAATCCACACTATATATTATAAACAAATAAATACGCAAACACACATAGACCTTTGTGCCTTTTGGATCGTTTTTACGTGGGAAATACATCTGTTTTGCTTTGCGGTTGTTGTGAAAGTTTTAAAAATGTGTATAAAAGTGCCTATATAGTATTATTATGAGACATATTTAAATAAGTGTATCGCTCGCGTGCACACAGCCCGCTTACCTTAAACAAACGACAGAAATGGGGCGTGAGGAGAAACAAGTCAATCAAATGCCTGCAAGTTCCATCATCATGGACACAGAGCAATATTCAATATTCCTTTTTTGTCACGAAGTACAGTGAAAAGCAGCTCATACAGTCACATCTGCTGAACGTTTTATGGAGGAGTGTAAAAACTGCAGTTAAATGTGTTCAGATGAAGAAAAAAAGACGAGAAATCACTTGATCACGTTAAAATGACAGTTAACATGCATGTATTTTTACACATTTACTCACACGTTTGCATTACAGAGAGCAGGAAAGAAACAGGCTGCACTGGTGAGCAGTATCTTCATAACATTGTTTAATTAAAATAAATTATCAACAAATTAGTCTGTCTCAACAGCCTTTACATGTGAAGGAATTATCTACACACAATCTGAATTCTCAATTAGAATAATACAAAAAACTATAAAATACTATTCATGAAAATACTTAAATCACAGACAAATCCAAATGCCCAACACAAGCGAGCTGCGCTCCAGACCAGATCAGCTCGATGACGTATAATGTCCCGACGCCGCCTGTAGTTTCCATTTAGCAACTTGATAGCAACCGTCTTTTTAAAGAAGCATAATCGATTTAAAAGTTGAAGAGTGTGCTGTAACTGATGTGTTTTATGTCGTAAAACAAAACGTGAAAGTATCTTGAGTTGGTGTCAGCCACGGACCTTATTTAAGCGATTTTACTGAAACCCCATTCAAAAAACCTATTGACTTTGGGACGAGGGAACCGGAAGTGCTAAAATGCTAACTCGCTTCCGGGTTTTTGCATACAAATTGACGTCATAGTTCCTCCACTCTATTGTCGTGGTGGTGTCCCAACAAATGACCAGCATGAACGTTTGGCTCTGAGTTACCTTTATTAACTCAAGATACAACAGTAGACATTGGTATATTAACCTCAAGAATATTTTCTATAATTTCTTTTACACCTTTCCAAAAGTTCTGTATTCCTTTACATTCCCATATACAATAATACAACGTTCCATTATGGTCCCTGCATCTCAAGCAAGTATCTGCAATATTTCCGTTATATTTATGCAATAAAACTGGAGTTATGTAAATCCTCATTAACCAGTAACAGTTTCTGACGAGTGTTCATTGTTAGCGATTGAGCTTCCTCGCATGTCTTCATCCAGTCCTCTGTAGAAATATCCTCCCAGCTTCCAATTTACAATTTAAATATGCTCTTCAAAATTTATCACATCATTTGCTTCAATTCTTGTGTTTGTTAAATGTTTCATTTATTTATATCTCAAAAAGACCATTAGACTTGCAAAATCCTGGAGCGCGTGATTGTAATTGTATAGCAATAATAATTGTTTTGTTAAACATTTAGGAAATAACTTCTTATATATCATTTTATTTTCCAGTTTCAACTGTTAACCCATTTTTTGACACTTTTGTTTGGATGGATTGTCTGCAAATTAATAAATATATGTTGAATCATGACATGGTCACTTGGCTGTTGATTTTGATATTGTTTTGCGGTGTTGTGTTGACTTCGCCGGCAGCTAGCTATCTGCAACTCTCACATGGTCGCCCACTGAAGCTAAAGCCTGGTTTATACTTCTGCGTCAAGTGACCGCCGTAACCCACGGCGCAGGCAACGCGCGTGGCTGTGCATTTATACTTCTGCGCGCTGTCTCTGTTGGTCTACATTAACACTTCCGAAACGCTAGTTGGCAGTGAGGTGTAAATGTTCCTCTGTGTCGAGTTTCTTCGCTTCTGTTTTGCATTTCCTGAACACTTGCTGGATGTACAAGTGACTCAAACTCGCTCATTTTGAGGCAGGAACCGGCGGACGTGCAACAACTTTAACTATGAGGTAAACACAAAACAAAACTTTCCATCTGAGCTCCTTCAAAGGACTCCACACTTGTAAACAATCGCTGCATCAGGCTCGCGCCATTCGCGCGGCTCTCGGTCCCGCCCAGACTCGTCAGTGCTACCAAGCCGACCAATCACAGAGCTTGTGCTACGCGCTGTTGCGACGTGTAGTTACAATTTTTGAGAGGTGCATGTCAGCGACGCTGACGGCCACGGCGAAGGGCTATGCGTCAGCGCCGTAGCATACGCCGGCGTTTGACGCAGAAGTATAAATCAGCCTTAAGCAGGGCTGCAGCAGGTCAGTACCTGGATGGGAGACCACATGGGAAAGCTAGGTTGCTGCCGGAAGTGGTGTTAGTGAGGCCAGCAGGGGGCGCCCAACCTGCGGTCTGTGTGGGTCCTTGTAACGGTTATTTAAGATGGAAACGCTAGGGTTAACGCAACATTTAAAATTTATGACTCCTTATGAATGGTGGCGGCAATGGAGCAGACAAACAACCAAATATGCCAAAATAAGTTATTTTACAAAGTGGATAAATGATAAACAAAGTATATACAAAATAAAGAGAACAAGAATAACTAAATGGTTGTAATAAAGGGGAGGAGGAACAAAAGTGGCGCCAAAGAAAAGAAAAATAATATAAAAAAATACAACTCTAAATAGATACCACAATCTCTATACTATCTAATAAAAGAAAGAAAGAAAAAAGTCTTCAGCGTTTTTACGCTCATCTAAACTACACTTCTAAACACAAACGTAAACAAAACTTACAATTAGTGGCGCACACTTCTAAACTAGTGTGTATAATACATTGGTATCTCCTATGTGTAGCAACATGTAGGTCACGTGACATCTACCCTGTTCCTCGAATCCCATGGATGTCGTATATCTGGTAATCAGGGAGAAAACACAATTAGAACACTTTTAAAGATCGATTCAAGCACAAATGATTGTAACACACATAACACAAGAAACTCACACAATCTAGCCATCCAGCAAAACACACAGTCAACCAACACAGCAAACACAACAGTGAGCAAGCAAAAAGCAAGCTAGCTTTCGACTGCACCGGCTTCCTTTTAAAGTGGGGAAGTCTGCTTGTGATTGGTCAATGATGATGTCATCGTAAATGGTAATGATGACTGGCATCTTGCTTAGCCAATAAGTAGATGAGCTGGGCGGACCTAAAGAAAATGATAGGTAGAGAAGGAGGGAGAGAGAAAAAAACAAACAAACACAGGCACAGATTCTGAGCCGTAACAGTCCTAATGCCCCAGTATAGTGACGGGGACTCTATACTGCTCAGTGAGCGCTGTCTTTCGGATGAGACGTTAAACTGAGGTCCTGACTCTCTGTGGTCGTTAAAAATCCCAGGATGTCCTTCGAAAAAGAGTAGGGGTTTAGCCCCGGCATCCTGGCCAAATCTGCCCACTGGCCTCTGTTCATCATGGCCTCCAAACCCTCCCCATATCATAATTGGCTTCATCACTCTGTCTCCTCTCCTCCAATCAGCTGGTGTGTGGTGTGCGGTCTGATGCAAAATGGCTGCCGTCGCGCCATTCAGGTGGATGCTGCACACTGGTAGTGAATAAGGAGATCCCTCCCCCCCGCCCCCCCATTGTGTAAATAGCTTTGAGTGCCCTAAAAAGCGCTATATAAAATACCTAAAATATCGTTTCACTTCTGATATTTAATGTTCACACTTCTCTCTTCGTAACTGCACATAAGTGAATCTGTGTGTGTCTCTCTCTGTGTGTTTTCAGGCTTCACATTGGTAAAGGTGTCCAGTTGGAGTGTAAAGGTGAAGGAGATGTGTGGGTTCGCTGTCTCAGTGATCACGCTGTGTTTGTCCAGAGTTATTATCTGGACCGAGAGGCTGGACGAGCTCCGGGTGACGCCGTCCACAAAATATACCCCAGCGCCTACATCAAGGTAACACACACACACATGTTGGTTTTGGTGTTTTATGAGAATTCACCACAGGCGTAATGTATTTTATTCAGTAAAAAAACGCATATTATATCGCCCTACCCCTAAACCCGATCCTCACAGGAAATCTGAAAACAATTTTGAATTTAATTGAATTAAAAGACCCTGTTAAGTTTGATTTTGAAGCGTTTTGAATTACTAGGACTCAATGCATGTTCTCATAAACCACCGTATTGTTGTAATACCTAGCTTATAATCATTATAAAAATTTGTGTCCTTGTAAACCACCAAAACCAGTACACACACACACACACACACACAACCATCATAAGTGAAAGCGCAAGTACTTACAGATGATTAAATAACTTCTTTATGGGCAAATAGTAGTGGTATTATGGTGGAATAACAGTATGCTTGAATAAGGATTGATTAAAATACTGCTTTTAAGATTTAGCCACACTATAATAAAATTATGCAATATATTTATATAATAATATAAATAATAATTATAAACTTTTTGGGCTCTATTTTGATGATCTAGGCGCAAAGTCCAAAGTGCAAGGCGCAAAAGCATTAAGGGCGGGTCCGAATCCACTTATGCTAATATAAGGAAGGAAAAATCCGCTTTACGCCGTGGCGCATGGTCTAACAGGGTTGAGCTTATTTTCTTATTAAGTTATAGGTGTGTTTTTAGAATAAACCAATCAGAGCCTCATCTCCCATTCCCTTTAAAAGTCAGTTGCGTCACGCCATAGCACATTTACTATTTACATGGCAGACTATGTAAGTAGAAAAACTGAACGCTTCACTGGAGAGAAAACAGTTAAACAGAGCATTTACTGCGCGAGTATGAGAAATGAGCCTCCTCATTCTTTACTTTCACTTTCACTCTCATGGATAGGGAAACGTGTGGTACGCACAGACATCTATTAGCCTATACATCGTTTATTTTGTTTTTTTAAGCGCAAATATTAGTTTCAAAACTGTTTCTAAATTCAGTTCTAACCTCCAGCAAACGAATAAATGAACAATAATAACCAAGTGTGGTCAAAACCTGAGTTTTATCCAAATACACATGCTGTGCCCCATATGATTTAAAACCTGACAGGTGGGCAAATCTCAGCTTGTTTTTAATAAAACAAATATAAATATGGATATAATAAATAATACTGCTAATAATAATAACATTATACAAAAGCAAATTGTCATGAATAAACTGAAAAAGCCTCCTGAGATAAAGAAGGCATGAAAGTATGGTTTTTATATTTATGTAGGCTAGAAAATAATATGTTTTGTAGTATTTTAGTTCTTTAATTTTTTTATTTGTAAAGACATTTGCGTATTGCTGTACATCCTGTGTGTCTTAAGCAATGTTTAAGTGAGGTGCACAACTAACGCGCTCTGCGCTGGACAATAGACCTGCTTTGATCTGGTGTGTTGTACAGTCTATTATAGTTCCTCAAAATAGCAATGCGCCAGCAATGCACCTTAACACACCTCCTTTTTTAGACCAGAACGCCTATGGGTGCACGTATGAGCGCAAATGCACTTGCTATTTAAACAGCGTGGCGCAAAACGTCAAAACGACTCTTGCGCCAAGCTGAAACTAGCAAACAACAATTGCGTCGCGCCTTGCGCTGCATTGCGCCTGAAGTATGATAGGGTCCTTTAGGATTTGTTATATAATAATTACTATTTTCATTAGGGATGTACCGATCCCAATACTTGCATTGGATATCGGTTGGATACCGCATATTTTTGATGAATCGGGTATCGTCCAGCTGGTACCAAACCAAACCCGATCTTGAAAAAAAAAAATTTTGTTTAGATCACCCCAATATGAAAGTGAACACAGTTCTGTCCAAACAGCTTACAAAAGATGATTTTCATCAAAGGTGCCATTTAATCTGCAATTAGGGAATAAAGTAGGCAGGCTAATAATTCAGGAGGGCTAATAATTCTGACTGTAGGTGTTGAAGTGTGTACATGTGCAATGAAGTATCCGTTTGTTAAGTCGTGACGTATTGGTGACATATGTAATACTGTTTCCGTGTTCAAGTTGCTACTCATTTGAATAGAGAAAATATTTGTTTATGACCACTTTTTAGTCCTATCACACATTAAAGTGTGACACATGTCGGCAGCTAGCTCTCTGCAACTCTCACATGGTCGCCCACTGAAGCTAAGCAGGGCTGCGCCCGGTCAGTACTTGGATGGGAGACCACTTGGGAAAGCTAGGTTGCTGCCGGAAGTGGTGTTAGTGAGGCCAGCAGGGGGCGCCCAACCTGCGGTCTGTGTGGGTCCTAATGCCCCAGTATAGAGACGGGGACTCTATACTGCTCAGTGAGCGCCGTCTTTCGGATGAGACGTTAAACCGAGGTCCCGACTCTCTGTGGTTGTTAAAAATCCCAGGATGTCCTTCGAAAAAGAGTAGGGGTTTAACCCCGGCATCCTGGCCAAATCTGCCCACTGGCCTCTGTCCATCATGGCCTCCTAACCCTCCCCATATCATGATTGGCATATCATCACTCTGTCTCCTCTCCACCAATCAGCTGGTGTGTGGTGTGCGGTCTGGCGCAAAATGGCTGCCGTCGCGTCATCCAGGTGGATGCTGCACACTGGTGGTGGATGAGGAGATTCCCCCCCCATTGTGTAAAGCGCTTTGAGTGCCCAGAAAAGCGCTATATAAATGTAACGAATTATTATTATTATTATTATTAAAGTTGACTTTATATAAAATCATGGTGTACAGAACAGTCCCTGGACTTGCTGCATCACAAATACCAAATTAATAAATAAATAAATACCAAATATTAGGCATGGACATATAGATTGCGATCGTGATTTTCGAAAGTATTACAGTGCTTTGTAAACATTTATTATTACCATTTGATGAGTCTCTTCATACATTTTGGTAGAGCTCTTGGACCCGGAAGCCACTTCACGTGACGTCACACTTAACAATCGGATACAAAGTGTACAAAGTCGAATACAATACCTTGTGCCCAAGACTGTATAATGTAACAGGTGTGAATGTGCTTTGATGTGTGCACAGGTGTTTGATCTGCGTCAGTGTCATCGGCAGATGCAGCAGCAGGCAGCGACGGCTCAGGCTGCAGCGGCTGCACAAGCGGATGCAGTGGCTGGAAACATCCCAGGCCCGGGGTCTGTGGGCGGCATCGCTCCGGCTATCAGTGAGCCTTACTAACATTCACCTTTACTTCATTCATTCATTTTCCTTCAGCTTAGTCTATAATTTATATGGGGTCGCCACAGCGGAATGAATCGCCAACTATTCCGGCATATGTTTTACACAGCGGATGCCCTTCCAGCCGCAACCCAGTACTAAGAAACACCCATACACTCTCACATTCACACACACACACACACACACCATGGCCGATTTAGTTTATCAAATTCATATAGCGCATGTGTTTGGCCCAGCCGGGTCTCAAACAAGCGACCTTCTTGCTGTGAGGCGACAGTGCTAGCCCATCCCAGTATCATGCAGCCTTAAATCAGATGATTTTGGTGACATTTGCTTTATCAACAGTTCATTATACAGTGTTTTCACTCCAGTACAAATAAAAGGTGTACTTAAAAAAACACACACAGTTTTGCTGTCCATCTATCCTCAGGTCTGTCTGCGGCGGCAGGCATCGGTGTGGACGACCTGCGGCGGCTCTGCATTCTGCGCATGAGTTTCGTGAAAGGCTGGGGTCCCGATTACCCTCGCCAGAGCATCAAGGAGACCCCATGCTGGATCGAAATTCACCTGCACCGGGCCCTTCAGCTCCTGGACGAGGTTCTGCACACCATGCCTATATCTGACCCACAACCTCTGGACTGACAACCACACTTACTTTAATACAGTGCATATCACCCTAAACTGACCTCTATGACCTGAAATGACCTTCCACAGGGGCGGATTCATGTGGAGAAACCAGCAAAACACTATTGTTGAGCAATTTATGCTGAGACTTTTGACTTTTTTTGTACAGGAAAGTGGTGCAGGATGGATGAAATGGAGATGTTTGTGTGTGTGTGTGTGTGTGTGTTTATTTCCAGTGTAGGGAGGTTGGATCAGAGCAGTATTGTGGCCACATACACACTGCAGATGTTAATTCGTTTTAGGTTAATTCTGTGCACATTCACACAACACAACACAGGAGGAATGATGTGCAATAATTGTTCTCCCAAAATAAATTGGCTCCTGGGTAGCTTGCTGAGGTCAAGGACCCCTTAGGTGGAGGGCAAGGGGGCCCTAAGGATCCCAGAATGCTGCAACATTCATTGATTAATTTTCCTTCGACGTAGTCCCTTATTTATCAGGGGTCACCACGGCAGAATGAACTACCAACTATTCCGGCATATGTTTTACGCAGCGGGTGCCCTTCCATCCGCAACCTAGTACTGGGAAACACCTATACACTCTCACATTCACACACACACTCTTACACTATGGCCGATTTTGTTTACCCAATTCACCTATAACACATGTTTGGACTGTGGAGCAAACCGGAGCACCCAGAGGAAACCCAGCTGGGACTTGAACCAGCCACCTTTTCGCTGTGTGGTGACAGTGCTAACCACCGTGCCACCTTCAGTGCAACAATTCAGTCAAATTTAGCTCGGCTTGTCAGTGATCTTAGTTTTTAAAAGTATTTTCTTGTAACACATTGGAATACATTTTTAAATATGTATAATGTCTACAGTTGAATGCACAATTATTAGCCATTAATTGTTTTTCAAATATTTCCCAAGTGGTGATTAACAGAGTATATTCACAGTTTTTTCAAACTATTGTTACAGTGAATGACATTTTAGTGGGCGTCTTCTCTAAATCACGGTACAAATAAATAAGTAGAACTTTCTTTTTCTGAAAAAATAAGCAGGACACGTAATAAAGGGGAGCTATTATGCCGCTTTTTACAAGATGTCAAATAAGTCTCTGATGTCCCTAGAGTATGTAAAGTTTCAATTCAAAATACCTCAGGTTGCTTTCACATCTGTAGTTCGCTTCATTTGGTCCGGACCAAGGGTAATAAATGATACATTGTTGCATTTTCTGCCGTCTTTGGGTCGCTTTCACACCACACTGCTGGCTTTGGTCTGAACCAGTTGAAACGAACCAAATTGCAGTCATCTGACAAAATCCACATCTCTCATTGGCCAGATGTTGTTGAACATATTTCCTAAACTGCTTATTGATTGGTCAGAATTCACGTGCGGGAAAATGACAATGAACTCCCGCAGGTAAACAAAACTGGCAGACACAAAATGTCGCTTTTACTCTGGAGGGACGACTGCACTGACTGATTGTATGCCAGCTTTAGACAAACTTTACATTTCGAGAATGAAGCGCGGCCGCGGCTGGAAAACAGTGCTTTAATGCGTCGCTCGTCACTTCAGGAGGAGGCGTGAATTAATTTAGCTAAACTGCGACATGTTCATCTTGCGGAAATATTACCAACAATCCATCAGGTAATGTTTTCCCCTCTCTCTCGCTCTCTCTGTTGGTAAAGCGCTGTCAACAAATATTTTTCCTCAATATCCCATAATGCACAGCGCATCGGCCTACGGCAGCTGGATTAGTCCAAAAGGCGCAGTACTTTTGCGGTTGGACCTGTTTTAGTGCGGATCATATTCTCACCACAAACGAACCGCTCCAGGGTTCGTTTGAAAGCGTACCGAGACCACCTCTTCAAGCAGGTCTCGGTACGCTTATTTGGTCCACTTTTGGTGCGCACTCGAGTACGATTGCTGCATTCTCACCTGCTCAAACGAACCGTACCAAGAGGGACAACAAACTCTAGTGTGATTCAATCGAACTGAATAAGGCAGGTGTGAAAACACCCTCAGATAATGTTTTATAACTCTTTGAATCTGCCTCTTTTAGGCTTTGATTAAAATTGTGGCGTTTTTGTGAATGTCGCTTTAAATTCAAATGAGATTGTGTTCTTTTTCAATAGAGGGCGGAGCTACAAATGCCTATGTGTCAGCATAGCGGCAGATTCAAAAACAAGACCAACGTCTTATGCTAATGAGAGAGAGATGGTCACTAATGGGCGGGGCTTTGTGAAGTTTTTATAACGTGTGAATATAAAACAATTAAATTAATACATTTTTCACCATTAGAAGCTGGTTATTTCCCCTAATAAAAGTGATTTTTGCATAATAGGTCCCCTTTAATATGTAAGAATGAAAGCTATATTACTTTTTTATTGTTTTGATGCGTTGAAAACCTCATTTTGGGTTTGACCCATTTACACAATTAACACAGTTACAAGTTAGATATTGAATTCAGTGCAACAATTAACACAGGAGTGTCACTTTAATGAACAATTTACACAGATATTTATTCAGCTTGTGTTTAAAAAAATGTAATTTCCAGATCTCTGTGGTGAATATGTGGCCACAATATCATCCTTTCAGTGTGTGCGTGTGTGTCTGTATTATTTTTATGCATTGTTTTAATAACACTAATGTTCACTCAGTTATAGCAAGCACTTGGTTACTTTATAACCCCTGTATAGACTGTTTTACCAGGAAAAGGCAACAATATCAGTCATGTTTCTTTCTCAGAGACCAGAAAAAAAGGAGTTCAGGCACAACACAGAGGCTGTTTAGACTATTTGAAGAGTATTTTAGGTGATACCAAGTTTTTAAATGAAGATTTCCCTCCATTAAGCGCAGGTGGGTTGCATTTAATAATTAATTTTGCTCCGGAATTCTTTACTTTTTTTATATGCATTTGCTTATCTTTTTTCTTAGTGATGCATGTTCATGTTGGCATGGAGGTGGAGGAGCTGTGATTAAACTGAAGGTGTGTTCACAATGATATACTAGCATACTATTATTTTAGCAGTATGTGTATAATTTACTGTACAGCAATGGCAAAATTTAAAAAGACTGTTTCTTTGACGGTATATTTACAATAGTTCATATTTGTTTCATTCTAGAAATGTCTGATAACATTTGTTTAAAAAAAATAAATAAATGAAGTTTTTATCATTTAGAGCTTTTTTAACCAAATTAACAAATAAATGTATTATTATTTGGTGTGATTAAAAAAAACCCTCACATTTTAGCCTCCTAAACTCTGCGTACATGGTACCGGGTCTTTGAAGTTATTTACTTCCGCATTCTTTAAATTAAACTAATTTCGAGATGATCACATGTGTATGATTGCCCTCAGCCGGTCCCACATTATTCAATTTATAATTCACCAATCGGACGATTCCTAAGCCATTATAAATACCCTAAGTCCCATATAACAGCCATCTTCGTTTTGAAGAATGGCTTCCCCCCTTCCACCCTTCCTCCTCCTCTTTTCCTAGATGGGTGGCACGGTGGCCCAGTGGTTAGCACTGTTGCCTCAGAGCAAGAACGTCACTGGTTCTAGTCCTTACCAAGCCAGCCAACGTTTCTATGCAGAGTTTACACATTCTATCCGTGCTCACGTGGGTTTCCCAGTTTCCTCCCACCATCCAAAAACATGCAACTTAAGTTAATTGACTAATCCAAATCAGCACCATAGACATACTCCTAGTAAGTAGTTCTCTTTTAAGAGCAATAGCTATCTTTTCATCAGCTACTATAGCAGGGGAGTTCTCGAGATCTACCTAAGCTCAAACTTCCCTCTCACCTTGCAAAAGGGAGTGAGCCCCGGGCTCGAGGATCTTATCAGCTCAGGGCTCTCTCCCGGGACAGCATGCCACACAAGCTTTATAATCAATCATCAGCCAAGCTAAGTACGGACCTTTCAAGTGAATTCTTGAAAGGTCCGTAATGGCCAAATACCCCTATAAGTAGTGGTTACGTTCTCTCATCAGTTGGAATATAATAACTTTTGCATAGATTATGGTAAAGACATTTTTCTTTATTCCTACGATTCCTCCTGGCTTGCAGAAACCCCCAAAATTAATTACAGCACCCAGACCACACAGAACCTAAAAAGAACTTCAAATTTGAGTTTACAAAAAAGCGCCTCTTTTTTAAAGGGGTTTATTATAACACAGACAACATATACAGATATTTTAAACACTTTCAACAGTGTTTTATGAAAGTTCAAAGAATTTTCTATAAATTGATACCAAACTTTTGCATTTACACCTCTGCATGTGGATTTGGGAAGCTTTTTAATTTGAGTAGGCAAAATCCAGGCGGAAACCCCAAAATAGCACTTGACTTTAATAATCTATGTTGCAGTGGTTTATGGGATTGCAGTTAAAACCGCTAAGTTCACGATAAAAAAGTAGTTTGAAATAAAAGACAAATATTGAAATTTGTCTTTTGGTCTGATTTTCAGATTTTTGATTGGGTTTTCGACCTAATTTTGTACCATGGAAATAAGCTCTTTTCATTGATTGTGTTAGGACTCCTGATTCATTTGCTTATGGATGATTGAATATGAATAAAAAAAATGGCATTAAACAGACAAACTACTTACTCTACAAACCAGTGTGTTCATGACAGTATTTTAAAAATTAAAACAATATAATCAGAAAATATAGCAAGCTGTTTTGTAGGCTAGAAATGAACGAGAAGTTTCGACACAATTAGTTTACATTGTTTACATTACATACACTTAATTAAACATGTACACATAGACATCACCTATATGCTATAAAACTGTAGGTTAACTATGTTTACACATTCATTCATTTTCTTTTTAGCTTAGTTCCTTTATTAATAAGGGGTCACCACAGTGGAATGAACCGCTAAATCATTCGTTAACCGCTAAAATATAATATTATAAATATTAAATTATTATTTTACACAGCGAATACCCTTCCAGCTGCAACCCAGCACTGGGAAACACCCATACACACTCATACAGTACTGACAATTTAGCTTATCCAATTCACTTATGGCGCATGAGTTTGGACTTGTTGGGGAAACCAAAGCACCCGGAGGAAACCCACACCAACACGAGGAGAACATGCAAACCACACAGAAATGCCAGGACTCAAATCAGCGACCTTCTTGCTGTGAGGTGACAGTGCTAACCACTGAGCCACCATGCCGCCTATTTTAAAATGAAAATAATATAAACCGAAAACATAAATTTGCACCATCAAGCAGCTCTTTTGTAGGCTAGAAATGAATGGAGGTGAATGAGACAGGAAGTCTCGACACAGTTGGTTCACAGTGGCCACGCCCCAAATCTTACATGATAAATAAGGTCAATAAGGCTTTAGCAAAGACTTAAAATCCTATGGCATAAACAAATAGGAAAAAATACTTCCGGAACAAAATTTATAAAAACGTATTGGGCAAGCACTCCAATATTTTTTTAATTTAAATTTATCACAGGTGGCTTAGTGGTTAGCACTGTTGCGTCACAGCAAGAAGGTCGCT